ATCTTTGAGGTTATTTGCCCAATCAATGCAGAGATCACTCCAATGCCATTTAGAAAGGAAGGCACCCAGTCCCTGGCACACATTGAGACTCCATGTGTGTGGCATGGGTGCTGATCATTTTGGGATTCTCCTCAGAGTATTACTACGACTGGTTGGGCAACTTTCCTGTTTTGACCATTGACAAAAGGCTTCAGAATATTTATTCAGTGTTTGTAGAAACTAGACTGTTGAAATACTGTCTCTTACATTTCCTTTCCAACACCTGTCTGATGCAAGAATGAAAACATTCCCAGGAGAAATGACTGCCATAGTCAGCATCCATTGTGTAGTGCCAATAGGTAGGTTGGACTACCTCAAGGAGGCCCCTGTTTTGCACATTACTGTAATTGTCTTTCTCCATTATAATCAAACCACACGTTGGCACCCACATGCTAGGAATTGCTAAAAGGTATATTACTTGATATATTCTTTCAACATAGCCCAAAGGAATGACAATTAGGATTTATATGTATGAATGTATATGCTGGTAATTTTAGCAATTGCAAACTCTTATAATAATGTTTATCACAGTCTCTGGATCTTCTGCCATCTGGCTTGACATTCCTTAATGCCTTCCTTTTCATGGGAAAGAAAAATAGTAAAACATAGAAAAGACTATGTTCAAATTTAAAGAACTCGGGGCCTGCTTAGATAAATGACGTCTCCTCTAGAATCCAGGAAATATTTATAGAACACTGATAAGAGCAGCTATTACCCCCAAAAAGCTCATAAATAAAAGAAGAGTATGAGATTGACAGGGTCAAAGTGAACATTTATCTGTCTCACTATCCACCTAAGATTATGCCTCAAATTTGAATGACCAAGCTTCAGGAGGAAAACACTACCAAGCTAAACTTGGATGGGACTTTGAGTTCACCAGAACTTATGTGGACATTTTCTTACCTGAACTTCCCAAGTATTATCATCCTTATTATGTAGATAACAAATCAGTTTATAAAAGGTAATCTGCTCAGGACCAGATGGTTTGCTTCTTATGACAGATCTAAAATTAGGATCCAAGTCTCCTAACTTTTAGTCCAGTGCACTTTCACTACACAAGGCTGTCTTTCACTTGCACACAAGCTTATGTCACAAAGCGCATATTCAGAGCAATAATGAATAACCTTGTTTCACATTTGTATTGGACATACATGACAGACTATTGATATCAAAGATTTGGGCAATAATTCAATGACCTGAAAGATCCACAACATGTCAACTTGCTCAGATATCAGCTTGCGCTATAATAAGACTAATACTGGGAAATGAGTCACTTATTATGATTAAGCCTTAAACCCAGCTTATCACCCAGTACCTACATATCTATGAGGTTTTCCTAAATTCTACTTTCCCTGTAGGTCCTACCTTCCGTTACAATTATTTCTTTGTGAAGTGACCCTCAAATCTGCTAATTACAGTGATTAAGGGAAAAGGGTCCCAGAAAGTCATGGAATGTGCAAGTTTTGGATCACTTTACGAATAGAATGGAGAAATTTTCAGTAGCTAGAGTGATTTTGGAAGCATGTACACCATGCCCTAAACAAGGAAAAACAATGTTTTTGAAATTGTTTTATCTAGTGCTCCAAGCAGGGCAGAAATTTCACATTATACAAAAAAAAAAAAAAAACCAATAAGTCAATAAGTTGGGGAATTCCTTTGTCAGAAATGTCAGAATTGTGTTCTCTATAAAATTCCTCTCTTACCGATCTACTTTGCAGGAATAAAATAAAGTCAGAGCCAGCAAAAAAATAATTGCTTACATATTTGGTGATAAATTTACAATTTAAATAAAGTTTTTACCTATACTCCCAAAATGTATAATAAAAAGTGCTGAAGTATTGCCTAGAATTAAATACTATGTGACACAAATAATATAAAATATGGTTAGACTGAGTTTTCTCTGCATGTACTTTCTATAGATATTTTTGTAGTTAAAACATTCTCCCTTTGAATTGTATCATCCAATTTTTCCTAGATTAGGCAATCATCAGAATAAATTTCTCTATGCCATCTTAATAACAGTGGATGATCTGTTATATGTCTTCACACTGATCAAAAATTAGCTTGTGCTCTAGATTTCCAAGGCAATAATAATCAGTAGTTCACATTTGATTCTTTCATATTAGTTCCTAGACAGGAGGCAGCACAAATAAGCAGTTCTAAAAACTTTCTTTACTTACTCATTTTTAATAATATCTTGAATTTTTTAACATTTTAATAGTCCTTATAACTATTTCAAATTTTTCTCATGTACAGTTGTAAGATGATTGGAAGATGAGTGGAAAATCGGTGACCTCTGAGTTTTCCTTTGGATGTTAAATGCTCCTTTCCTATCTCCCAGTGATAACCAGGCACCATTTGCTCATTTCTTTTTCTCTGTCATTCTCAGGCAAGCCTCTGAACATTCCTTGCAAAGCATTCTTTGGATTCAGTGGAGAGTCCGGGCCAATGATCTACTGGATGAAAGGGGACAAGTTTATTGAAGAACTGGCAGGTCACATTAGAGAAGGTGAAATAAGGTATAGAACTTGAATTGCTTATTTTTCTTTGCTGTCTTTGCAGTTAAGCAATAAGACATCTTAAAAGAGCTTCTGTCCAGGATTTTAATTGCATTTCCAAATCATTCCATTTCTAAAAGCTGATTTGGTGGAGAATGAGACTGACTGCCTTAAGAAATACAAATGTGTAAACATCCAATATAAGGAGGTTTTTTCAGGTTCTAAGAATTATACCATGGAGTATAGTGACCCCTTCTAAGCTGCCTAAGCACATTCCTTTGAGTTTCCAAATCTTAGGCCACTGTAACTCCAGCCTGTCACAGCAAAGATCCAAACTTTATAGGTGACTCTGCATACCACTGGACAAAAGCTCATTTACTCCTTGAAAATAGACAACTTTTATATGTCATCGGTAGAAGCCACAGTGACAGTAGTAAGCTGATACTTGCCAAATAACTGTTGACTCTTGTTGAATAGTGTTTATTTTTCCCCAGTACTCATGCTTATCCTGAAAATGACTGATCTTTCTGGTTAGAGCATCACTAGAATTCTTTTCACTCTCCTGTTACACCAAAACATCCCTGATGTAGACATGTGTTCTAATGGTTTTCTTATCCTATTTAGTACATTCTTACTTTACAAGTAAGGGATAAGCAGTTTTTCCTAAGTCAGTCTGTAGGGTTACCATTTAACTTCAGAAATGGTGATATATAATGTATCATTCTCATTCTAATAGAAATTGGGACTGTTTGCCCCCTGTCCTTTTGAGAATTGTGTAGTGGAAATCAATTCAATCTTTCAGTGCAACTAAAGTTAAAATGTGTTCTTTCACTTTTCTTATAAAATAAGTATACTCTATATTATTTACTCTGAACTATAATTTGCAAAAATGACAGTTTCTTTTCATGCATCTGCTCAATAACTCCACTCTAGGAGCTCATAACTTTGAGTGTCTGTGAATTGCCTGAGAGCATATGCAAAATATTGACCAGATGAGCATATTTCTAGGAAATAGTACATGAAAAAGTACCTGGCATCATTATTCACCAGGAAATACCAATCAAAATCCCATGATACCACCTCACACTCACTAGGATGACTATGATAAAAAAGTCATAACAACAAATGTTGGCAAGGATATGGAGAAATTAGAACCCTCATGCATGGTGAGAGTTTAAAATGTTGCAGCCAATTTGGATAGCAGTCTGGAGGTCTTCAAATGTCTAAACTTAGTTATCAGCAATTTCCATCCTGGGTATTTAAGCAAGAAAAATCAAAATATGCATCTCCACAAAAACTTGTATACAAATGTTCATAGCAGCTTTATTCTTAATAGAAAAAATGGTGGGAATAACCCAAATTTCCATTGACTGATGAATGACTGAATAAAATGTGGCATATTCATGCAGTGGAATATTAGTCTGTCATAAAAATGAATTAATGAAGTACTTGCACACTACAACATTGGTGAACCTTGGAAACATTCTTAGTGAAACAAACCAGTGACAAAAAAGCATATTTTTTATCATTTCACTAATATGAAATGCTAAGAAAAGGCCAATCAGTAGAAGCATAAAGAAGAAGATTGGTGGTTGGCTAGGACCAGGGGGACGGAGAGATAGGGGTAGATACTTAAAGTATATGGATTTTTTAAAGATTTTTTTCTTTCTTTCTTTCTTTCTTTATTTATTTATACAAGAACTGAGGTATAGGCCAGATTCGCGGGAGGGTGAGAGGATTCACCAAAGACAGAGTGGGGAACAGAACAGGCAGACTGACAAAATACCCTGCTGAGGGGAGCAGCGGGCGAGACAGGAGAGGTCTGCCGCGCCATGTGGGACCCTTGCAGGCCGGCTGTGATCTAACCGGTGCTGCCCAGGCTGCGGACAGCTACACAGTGCAGCGCTCAACCGCCTGCGCCACCAGGGGAGGCCCCTGGTATATGGATTTTTTTAATGTGGTGTCTACAATATAACATAAAATGCACCATATTAAAGTGTGCAACTCACTTTTAGTCATTTACAATGTCATACAACTACCACCACTATCTAGTTCCAGAACATTTTAATCAACACAAAGAAAAATCCTACCAATTAAGCAGTCTGGGGCATCTTCTTGAGGCAATGAAAATGTTATAAAACTGACTACACTGATGACTGTGCATATTTGTGAGTATAATAAAAAAACAGTGAATAATAAAAAAGTATAATTAAAAAAACAGAGCTTAAATACAGGAATTGTATGCTGTATAAATTATGTCAATAAAGTTTTTTTAAACCTTCTAAATGATTGCCTGGCATAAAAAAATTAGACAAATATTGAGGAAAAAGTCAATATGCTACTTATAAATAATTCTGAAATATTAATTATAACTTAAACTTTAAGCTTTCCAATTACTGATAATTTGTTAGTCAATTTCAAGTTAAAATTTATGAAATTAATGCAACTGAATTTCTTTATTTTAGAAGATACATATTTAGAATTATTATCAATAATTATCAATCATTATCAATGTATCTCACATTTCAGAGAAACAAAATGGTCCCCAAAGGGAAGTGATAGATGCAATGTATGCAATGTATATAGTAGCAAAAGTTCCACTACCAGAAAGTTCTGAGCTGTTTCATGATCAAGGATACTAGTTATATGAACTTAAGATAATTATCTCTTGCTGACTAGATTTTAAAAAATAAACAGCTTTATTGGGTTATAGTTGATATTCTATAAACTGCACACATTCTATTCTTTAATAAAATTATTGATTTACTATTGGTTTACAAAACTATATAATTTCCAAGAGTACAGCATCACACATTAATATGTATATATACCACACTGTATCCACCACTACAGTTTTAGTGCAAGTCACTCTCATGAAATTGACCCCCTCTACTACCCATTCTTCTCACCCCGCTTTCTCCTTCCCCTCTGGTGACCACCATATTTTTCTCTGAGTTAATTTTTTTGTGTTTTTTAAGTTATATTTTACATATCTGTGAAACCATTTGGTATTTGTCTTTCAATTTCTGACTTATTTCACATAGTATAATCACCTCATGTTCCATCCATGTTGTCATGAAAGACATGTTTCTTAATAGCTGAGTTGTATTCTATTGAGTACATATTCCACACTTTCTTTATCCAGTCATCTATTGCTGGGCATTTAGTTTGTTTCCATGTCTTGGCTATTGTGAATAATTCTGCAATGAACATAGGGGTACATATATCTTTTCAAATTTGTGTTTTCATATTCTTCCGATAAATACTTAAGAGTGGAATTGCTGGGTTATATGCTATTTCTCTTTTGAATTTCTAAGGAACCAGAACACCACACAATATAAAGTGTGCAATCTGTAAGGACTGATATATATTATATATATATATATTATATATAATAGTCTTACATACCCCATTTGCATCTTTTCCTGTTACTAATATCTTAAGTTACTATGATACATATGTTGCAAGTAATAGATACATTATTAGCTAAAGCTCATACTTTATTCAAATATCCTTAGTTTCTGCCTACTGTCCTTTCTCTTCTCCATGATTATTTAACTTGTTGATACCGTATTCCAAAAGTATAGTGTTTTTACAGAAATGTTAGGCCCTGCTACTTTTCTCTAGCAGCAAAAGATTAGAGTGCTGTGAAACAGTACAAGTCAGTCAAAATGAGTCAACCACACAGTTAAGTATTATAGGAAGTCAACTTTTCAGGACTTGAAAAAATGTCGTTGTTTATTTGACTATGTTACATTCCCTATCTCTACCCTCTCCAACACTCCCAGGGAAAAAATAAGTAAGTAAAAAATGTCCAGCTGAAGAGGTATAAATCTAGTCCCCTAAATCATCAGAACCAATTTTACTTTAATAAAAAAGAAGAAGTTTGGGCCTCCCCAGTGGTGCAGCGGGTTGAGTGCAGCACTGTGAAGCTGCCCGCAGCCTCTGCAGCACCGGTTCGATCCCTGCCGGCCAGGGAGATTCCCACGTGGCATGGCAGACCTCTCCTGTCTCGCCTGCTGCTCCCCTCAGCAGTGTATTTCGGTCCTTCTGCCTGTTCTGCTCCCTGCTCTGTCTCTGGTGAATTCTCTCACCCTCCCGTGCCTCTGGCCTGTACCCCAGTGCTTGTATATATAAATAAATCTTTAAAAAAAATCTTTTAAAAAAAAGTTACAGGAAAAAAATTACCACACTTCTAAATAAAGATCCAAGACACTTCTAATAAAAAAAGAAAGTGTGCAAGCTCATATTGGTAGTGGAGGAAAGTAACAAAATTTATCTTGAAGTTTTTACAGAATCCTGCTCACTAACTAGAGGCACCTTCAGAGAATTGCAAAGAAGGCAAGGATTCCTGGCCAAGATAAACACAAAGTTAGCTGTTTTGTAAAATTAACTGTGTCATCTGTGATCTATTTGGGAGCTTGTACGGGTATGGGAATTCCTTCAGGATATAGCCATTTATGTGAACACAGGAGTTTATTAGTAGATTCTGTCTTTCAGCCTGCAAAGCCAATGTCCTTGAAACAAAGCATGGAAAAAATTTTGCACAGCATAGCAGATTGGAACAAATCTGGTAGTTTTATCCAAAAAATTTGCTAATCATACCATTAGTTCAACCAAGAGAAGATCTACATTTTTTTCCTAGCCCACACATTTTCTCCAAAGGGAACAATTCTGATGGCAGAACGCTAAAGATGTTAAGTAGGAAATTCCGCTCCAAAAGCATTTCTGGAAACAAATTTTTTTTTTCCGGAAGCAAAACTCTCCTTCAGGGTATTGTATGTGCTTCATATTTTAATGGAATCATAGTTCTTGTGTTGTACACACATGTCAGAAGTGCACTGCCCAATAGAATTAAGAAGTGGGAATGTAAAGAAATTGCTATTAAGCAGTTAACATGTGCAGAAGCAGCCACAGAGGCACTGCATCTGGCTGGAGGACTAACCACGTTGCTGCTTCCTAATTTTCCCATTCCTGGGCAGCAGCTTGATCCTAGAAGTATGTGTTCCCAACTTTATCTG